ATTTCCTTCCAGTCCTAAGTGCTGGACTTGCAAGGCTCCGTGTAAGAAATCAGTGTGCCAGTCCCAACAAGGCCTAGTGAAGATGACTTCCCCATCCCTTCCCCAACCTTCCCCCCCAAATCTGGCAGTCCATAAAAGGAGAATCAGAGAAAGATACAAGGCAATACTTTTATTATAAGAATAATTTCAAAAATTATAGGAACCAGTCTTTACTATTAAGTCAGAAGATGGGGAGAAATGGCTTCTGATTTTGAATCCTCTGTTCTAATGATGGATGGGCTTCAAGGATGACCAGCAGGAGGAACTGGAGTAGGAAGCATATTTATACTCATAAAAATATTAGTTTTTTTAAAAGAGTTTATATATTTATTTTTAGAGAAAGGGAAAGAGAAGGAGAAAGAGAGGGAGAGAAATATCAATGTGTGGTTGCCTCTCACGTGTCCCCTGCTAAGGACCTGGCCCATAACCCGGGCAGGTGCCCTGACTGGGAATCAAACTAGCAACACTTGGAGCTGGACTGTGCTCAATCCACTGAGCTATACCAGCCAGGGCAAAAGATTAGGTTTCTATTACCAAAATATTATATTTTTACATGGATGATTTTCTACCTTTTTTTTGTAGTGTGATCATGGTAGTAGTAGAAAGTATAATGGGAGCTTTTTGAACAGCCTCTGTATACCAGACACTTTCTAAGTTCAGTGTTACCTCCTTATTATTCCTTCCCCAGTCCAATGCAAAAGATGTTTTACCTGGGGGTTAGATATGAATCATGCCATAAGCCTCAGACACTGGAGCTTCGACACCCACTTCTCAGCACTTTCAGTTTTAAAGTTGCTGTTGTTTCTACTGCTGATTTCAAAGTGAAGCTAAATTTGCATTCATCCCAACACAATTAACAACTCATTCTATTCAAATGTACCATTTATACAAATTCTAAATCCTTTGCATCAGAAAAAGTCAGCAGATCAAAATAGGTGTCACACCCTAGGCTGTGAACCCATAACTTCTATGGATCAACAGGGACAGGTACACAGACTGGCAGCAGGAGCCCCCTGGACCCAGTTTGGCATCAAAGAGAAGCGGAGGAGTTAGGGTTAAAGGGAAAAAGATCATACAGCGACCCCGGATTTGCAGGAAGTGGCTTGTTGTTGAGGCAGAGCCAGAGAACAGAACTGTAACGTGAGTAGACCTAAAGCCATTGTTCTCTGACAAGGAGTGATTAAGGCCAAAATAATTCACTCACACAATCTGTGTTATAAGGAACTATGTGTCCGTGAGCAGTAAGAATTCCTGTTGGCCCAGGACACGGGCATGGCATCTCTTCCACACAAACTTCCTGCAGTAGCTGATCAGAAAAAAAGCATTCTATCTATGCAAAGCTACTACAAGAAAGTGAAAGAGGAAATGCACAGAGATAAAATGGAAGACAAAGAATACTTACCAGAAAAAATGTCTCCATAAAGCAGATAAAAATTAGGACCAAGTGTATTTGCCACAGACTTAAAAAAAAATACTAAACAAAACTACCTTATCTATAAAGCAAGAACTCATATCAAATATACAAGAGCTTGGGGAGCACACTGCAACACATTAGGAAATGAAAGACGATTGGCAAAGCCCAGGAAACATACGTTTCACTGGCAGCTCTGCTAAAAAACTAAAAATATGGAAAGAAACAAGAATGTTAGAAATAGAAAAGGAGTGCAATTTTTTTTAAGTGGAAAAAAAAGAATTACAAAAAAATACTAGTTAGACCAGATAAAAAGACCTTACTTTACTGCAATAAACTGAATAAACTTCATTATCCTGAAGAGGTGAAAAATAATAAAATGGAGAAAAAGTTAAAGATATACTTCAATGTAACTTCCCAGAAGTATTTCGTAATTCTATAAATTGAGAGGGCACACTGGACTCCACGGAAAAATTATACAAAATCATTCAATCCTAAATCATGTTTTAGTAAAGTTACTGGAATTGAAAGGAAAAAATAACTGTTGTGAGTCATGGCAAAACTTTTAAGTCCAAATGTTACTTTCCACAGCAACACTCAATGTTAGAAGACATTGGAGCAACAGAACAGTCCTCAGGAAGTAAAGTGTTTGATCCAAGAATTGTACACAAATAGTCATTAAAACGTGATGAAAATGAACATTTTTTCGAGCTTGTGAAAACTCAGGAAATATACCCCAAACTTTTCTGGAAGAAACTACTATAGTTCAGATTTTTGAAAAGCAAACAGATAAATGGAGTACTGATCCTAAGTGTTGACTTCATTTAACTGTAGTTAACTAAAACTAGAATGATTGTGGAGATTATGGTCACAGGACAAAATTACACATTACAAACTCTAATGACGTAGAAATAACAATAGCAACGACTTGGAGCCGAGGAAGACAAATGGTGGGCAGTCACGTCAATATGCCGATTTTCTTATCTGATAGAGCTGAAGTTAGGAAGATTATTGAAGCTGATAAATCATGTAACAGAGCTATAAGTATATTTCTAAGTCTAAAGAATATAATATGTAAAATTAGGTAACATCAAGAATAAGGTGAGTTTGGGAGGAATTGGAAAAAACCTAATTTTATCACTCCTGGTAGGAAGTCAGTAGACAGCTGTCTAGAGATACAGAAATTTAAGCATTTTGGGGAAGCTGCACTCTCATAAATTGCTGGCGAGAGTAAATATAAGTGAGGGCTTCAGGGATTTCTCTAGACCCATTGCACAGAACCAAGAGACGAGGGTGACTACATATAGAATTCAGCTGTAGAGACCAAATGGAAGTGGGAATATAGCCAAGGGGCAAGGAGTCCTCTCCTACCATGAAGGATGAACAATTGCTCCAGGACCACCTTGTCACAGAGGAGCTGACAACTGTCAGTGACGTGTGCCATTTTCTAATACTATGTGCCATTTCCCCCCAAGAAGGCCAAATGTGTGTTCCCAGCTTCCTTCACAGCTAGAGCACAGGCATGTGACTGAGGCTCTGACAAGGCAGACAAACCACACAGGTGTTTGTTACCCAGGACAGCAATGGAAGAATCCATCTTTGGCCACTGTGTTAAATGAGGGCTCCGCTTGCAAGGGTGGCAAAGGCACTGATATGGGTATTAAGTGCCCAAAGGTGGTAGCCTTGAGTCTTCTCTGGAGCAGTTAGTTCTAGAGAGGTTTCCGGTGTTATTCCTGGCCAGCTGCCTCTATGCCCAACAACCTGGTCTTCCTCTTCTTTAAGGTACTCAAATGCTCTAAAAATAAATTTTTCTGCTTAAACTAGGTGGAGGTGAGTTCTGTTTTCTGCAACTAAGAACCATGCCTGACCACGTATAATCTGGTAGAACACACACTTAGACAAAACATTTTAAAACATCTTTTTGTGTGAAAAAGAACAAGGACCTAATATTTTCATTAACCCCGGTCATAGTAGCTTCACATTAAGAAGCCAAGTGTCTGTGAAAGGTCCCTTCCTAGAACCTTTTATCTAGTTCAAATATGTTAAAGAATGGGCTCTGTTAAAAATAGGTCTTGGTTTTAAGTATGATTATACTGGAATCACCAAAAGTTAAGGCACTTTAAATAGGTAAAAATCACATACAGCTGAATCTTACTATGTCAGCTTGCTGAAATCCCTTGGAAAATTTTGGGGATAATGAGTCTAACCTCATCTAGAATATTTATTCCAGGCTCCAAACCTTGCTTTTAAGCCCAAAGTATAACCAAGTTCACTGCCTACTGTGAAAGGATTAAGGATAATATTATCTCCATTGTCCTATCTCTCGTTCTTGGCTATGAAAAGCAACAAAATGTACACACTTATCCTGGAGTTTCATGACTAAGAGCTGCCACAGCTGGTGGGTTTTACTACTGAAAGAAGCATCTGCTTTGGAATCTAGGTGTTGAGTGCAGGCTTTCTTTCTAGTTGAGGGGTGCTTAAAGTGTGGTCCCCAGGCCACAGTGTCAACATCAACTGGAAACTTCTGGGAAATGCCAATTCTGGGGCCCCACAGCCAATTTACGGAACTGGGAACTCTAGGGGTGGGGATGGAATTCTCTGCTTTATAAACTGTCCCAGTATTTCTGTTGTATACTCGTTTAGAAAAGTAGTTAGCATACCGTTTTCTTTGGCAGCACAACTAAGCACTCCCATCAAAGAAGAATCTACTTGTGAAAGGGAATAGCAAATGTACCACCTTACTAACAAATTTTAGAGCATTAAAGGAATCCTTCCCCAGAACTAACCTAACTTCACATGTACCGTAAATGCATTTCTTCTTCTACGGAGGGAATGCAGAACTCTTACTTATTAACACATCATGCAGATTACCTATTCCTGGGACGGTTTGACATCAAGTGCCCTTCAATCTTCTCCAGGGTTGCTTTACCTTTACTTACAATAATTTTCTGAAACTCTTCATCATCCTTGTCAAGCTCCAGAATCAAGTATAACCTCATTTTACTACTCAAATAATTAAAACGCATTTCCTGTCATTGAATCATAGAAAATGCCACAAAACCTAGGTTTCTTCTATTCTACCTGCATTTTACAAAATGTATCAATACTACTAAAAATTTTTAAAAATCAAACTTTGTCTGTTATTTCTATATATTCTAATTGCTCCCCCACACCTCTGTTCTAAGTTTTAGTTCATCATAAGGTCACTAAGTAGTTCACATATATTGCACTCAACATTCTGATCCTCATTTGTCCTATTAAATAAGAACTGACCAGATGGCTATTCCTCTGACTCTCTCTCCTGAGCAGGTTTTAGTTAATTAAAAATGATTATTTTTACTACATATTTTATGTATCAGCCAGATGTTACCTGTGGTCATTTCTGGAAAGGATCATTTGGTGGTGGTTATAAAATACATATGTTCTTTCAGGAGGCAAGACTATTGCGCATGATCGGGAAAACAACTGTAGAAATTGATTTCAACTCATACCTTTTTCAGAGTGCCAAAATGGGCATAGCATTTCATTTCCTTAGAAAGTTTAATCAAATTCTCCTACTTTCTATTCCCGCACTCTGGCCCTATTTATGTTGTATAAAAAATGATCGCGTTGATGGGAGAAAAATTAATACTGGTCTCCCTCTGAACTACAAGTGCAAGCTGATTTTTCCAAAGAAACTGATTTGGTTTTTCTAGATCGGGCTTAAGACATCTACATACAACATAGCAAACTCACTGCTCCATCTGGCGAGATACCACGTCATGTTCTTGTGAGGATGCACGTCCTGGTAGATACGTGAAACAGTTCCCATGTGGAACAGGTCTCCTCAGATGCTGTATTTCACACAAACTAATTTGTCTAAGTTTCCCATTAGTGCTGAAATAATCCACAGCGAGATGATTCTGTATTTATGAAACCGTTTTGTGATCACAGTAATCATTTTCTCTCCATTTGTAGACAAACTAGAGTCCAAATAAGCCCCCATCTTTTTTTTCTTACAAAAAGCAACATTGAACTTCCTTTTAAAAAAAATTCAGTTCTTGAGGTCACCAAAAATTCTGAAAGTCTAACAGATAAAATTAACCACATTATCATTCGGACTAAATTTATCTAGGTGGTTGGTCTTTGCCAAAACACTACTTAGAAGGCCAAAGTGCGTCTTTTGAAAGTCAAACGTTCACATGCTGACCAACATACCAGGTGTGGCAGGGTTTATAGACAACTAAGGAATTTTCCATTGCAAAGCCCTGGCTATGTCTTGGACAGTACCTCATGGCACGATGTGGATCTAGGTTATGGGCTCAGCTACGACTTTCTATGTGACCTTGTGTACGTGTCTTTTCTCATGTAAAAAATGATGGACAGAACTTTAAGCCCCTAAACTTTATGATTGGTTGTATGAAAATAACTTTAAGACTTAGTATGTTTTATTGAACAATTGTGACAATTTTCAGGGAGATTGCTGAGATTGCTTTTATTGACTTAGAAGCTTTAAACATCACACAGCAGAACTCATTTTCTCATTGCACAAAGCATCCCAGGGTTCTCAAGTAGACACATCTGCTTGTAGTAAATCAGTCACCTCAAAAATGACCTCCTCCTCTTATGCTTTCACAGCTCTCAGCATTCACTGGGGTCTTCCTATTAGTCATCTAGGTTACATTTCGAGAGCCAGGTAAGGTAACATTCCTGATGAAGAGGCCAATAGTCCTTGGAATAAACTGTCCCCCCAAAATACAAGATTGCTTACTTTTAGATCAGGCCATGCTCATCAGCCTCTAATAGGTCTGAGGGACTCACCAATCGTAATTTCCTATGTGAATCTGTAATTGTCTGCAGAGGTCAATTTCAGTGTATGCCTCATATAAATTAGAATTGAAGATAATGAGGCCTGTTCACTTGATCAACTAAAATGACCAGCTGGGTTTAACAGGAGGAAAACAGAACCCCTGAGAAATTGGAATGGCTTCAAAGGTAATAGCATGTAATTATTTACTGTAAAGTTTCTTCTCCAAGGGTGACTGACCATTGAGCTGGTCGGTCACGTTATGAAGGAGGGTATGGCCTTTGGAACCACTGACCATATCTAAAGGCGTAAGTCAAAAGTCAGCTTTCTGAAGGTGTTGGATGAAAGTAGGATTACTTTTCCATTCTTACATTAAGCCTTTCACTTAGGGTTGGAGAGGAGCTTTGAGGGACGGGCCTAATTGACTCCTGAGAGGCAAATTCTAATTTAGATTGCTACAATCAATTTTTCTCTTTATAGCCATAGAACATTTTCTTGGATTTGTTATCAATATCCCTAGGATACTATAACTCCAGGGCTAAAAGCACCTTCATATCACCTGCCTCAACCCTTTCATTTTACAGACGAAGAAACTGAGGTCCAGAGCGGTGACCTGACTGGACAGAGGTCACAAAGCGAGAATGAGGAAAAGGCTGGGCCAGAATTTGGCAGATGAGAGATGCAAACACAACTGACTCCCAGTCTAGCATTACTCATGTATGAGTAGCTGGAGATTCATTCAGGAAGGAAAAGATTCCATAAAAAAATCACAGTTTTAGAAGGAAGAGGTTCTATAACGTGGTAAAGGTGCTAGCGAGCAGAACAGGCAGAGGTGTAAAGCTGAGAGACCTCAGTGGGCAAAGTGAGCCACAGACAACAGCGCAGACTGTCACTCCGGGTAGCTGACAGTGAGCTCAGTGTGTGTGCCTATGTGACAGCAGGGATGGCTACACTCGGGAGTGACTGCACAGACTTGGGGGCCATGGTGTCCGCCTGGCCTTGATTCTGGACTGCTACTTTTAAGCTCTGTGATCTTTGGCAACTTCCGTAAGCTCTCTGGGCCTAAGTCACTCATCTGTATAAAAGGATGATAATATCAGTATTCATTTTTGGAAGGATTGAAACCTTAATGTACTTACATAGCTGTTGAAGGGATTAAACAAGGATTAAATACACTGATGTATGTAAAGAGTTTAACACTTACTGTGCTACATTATTTTCTGCTGTTTTACCCCTATTCCCTATACCAGCAAAATCTTCAAAGTTTCAGAATATGTATCTAAGTTGTATTCACTAATAATGTACTGAGAAGGGGTGCTTTATCTGAGAATAACACCCACGGAGTCTACTGGAGAGATTCAGGATTTAAAAAATCATTAATAAAACCTCTTCATATATTTCATGGATTAATTTTTCAATATGTACTATACAATTTAAAGTTAAAAAATAAACAAATACAAGGGTTTGTTTTTTATTTAAAACACATGACATCCATAATTTTGTAAATAATGACAGAAACTTCATTAACAAAACCATAAAAGAGCATATCTGTTGCCAAAATGAAAGAGGGATTTTCATGGCAGGAAATGGGTGCCGAGCCAGCCGCCTCCTGGAGCAGTTCAGGTGCAGCAGCAGGCCAGGGACGCACACTCTCCTTTGCTACAGCACGTTTCTTGGGCAGTTCAACATTTTTCCCCTCCGAATTTAATGGTGTCAAAGCTATCACTAACATTTTACTCGGAGTGTTTAAGAGAAAACCTTCACGAAGTTACCAGTACAGATCTAGTGACGAAGACCATTTCGTATGTGCCTGAAGTGAGTGCCGTATGTGGATTAGTTGGTACTTTTCTTTCATCCTTTGAATTACGTTTCATGGATATTTCAAGGGAAAAAAGACAGTTATCTGTTCCCTCATTTTTTAATTAAGTAATTTTAAAAATTATGTCCAAAAAAATTTTAAACATTGTAAAAAAAACTTCTCTGGAATTTGTTGCTGATTTAAGACATTGGAAGATCATGATAAGCTGCATATCTTCCAGTCACGTGATGATAAATCTGTGAGGAAAGCAGTTCCATTAATTAATAATTATCATATTATTACATGTATCAATTAATAATTATACTATTATATAACAATCATTCATTTTAATCAATGTTTCATAATAATTATACTATTATATACTAATTAATAATTTTAATTAACATTTCATTATAAAGCCCTTCTATTAGGCACGTCAGCAAAGTCTCCATCCAACCTACTGCAGGAAGGAGCAGGTTTGCTGAGAAGCAGCAGGGACCTGGGTATGACGATGTAAATCAGGTGAGTGTTCACCTCTAGTTCTCACAGCCCCAGAGATGACTTTTCATTTCCTTCTCAAAACAGTTGTCACCTTGTTCTGAGGACAGTGGGTTATGACTCACCTGTCTCTCGATGTCCAAAAGCAGAGCACTGGCACCTATTCGGAAGAGTTCTGGCTTCAGCCACTCGTCTCCTAGCTCCTCCTTCACCAGGGAGAGCCAAGCGAGGGAATCCTTGGCCATGCGGATGCCTCCTGCTGGCTTAAAGCCTATCTAAAAGGGGAGGTGGGAAAGAGAACCAGGTTTGTTCTTACCAGACTACTTTTGAAAATGGCACTGCATTAACACAAGTCTCGATTCTTTCCCTGTCCTTTTTTATTCTGTTTCCATTCACCCAGCAAAAGAGCTTAGATCACTGACTCATGTCCATTCACATTACAAAACGACTTTCCCAGGATTAATGGGGAAAATGTCACTGCTTCTGAGGAGACACTAATGAGAGTGAATAACCCTCATTAACATTTCACTTATCGGAAAGCCATAAACCTCAACCATTTAGACTACAGCTGTGAACCTGAGATAAACAAAAAAATGTGTCAATAAATAGAAAAACATATCACAAAAGCCCATTCATTCTATTTTCCTACAAGTAAACCTATGTAGACACCTTTCAGCCCTTCCTCTTGAGGTGAAAAAGACACATCAGTGTATTTAGAACAAGAGGAGCAAACTGGCAAGGTCACACCAACGGAATGGGCTGCAATCAGCAAGAAGGGTTGACAGTTATTTTAATCAGCTTAACTGCATGGACTTTTGTACCCTAAGTTGCAAGTAGAAAGAGTTTTTGAGATCTGTCTGGAAAAATTCTAGCCATTGTTAATATAAAGAGAAAAGTTTGGGCAACATCGATGTAACCTGGCAGCCAAGGAGAGTGGACTGGAATTTGCACACATGAACAATGACAACTTCACTGTACCAGTCAGTGGGGGCAGTAGATGCCATTGAGTGAGCATGAGTACTGTGTAGCCATTGTATTCAAAATGACTGAACCAGTATAGCAATGGATCGGCATCAAATTTTGTGTTAAGCTTAAACATTCCTCTGTGGAAACTATTCAGATGACTCAGAAGGCCGCAGCTATGGGCAACTGGTGATTGGCAGCTTCATCATGACAACGTGCCCACTCAAGCATCAAATATCCTCCAGAGTTTTTTAGTGAAACATCAAATCGCCCAGATGACTCAGCCCTGCTATAGCCCAGATTTGGTGCCCTGTGACTTCTGGCCTCTCCCAAAACTAAAATCACCTTTGAAAGGGAAGAAGTTTCAGACTGTCAATGAGATTCAGGAAAATACAACAGGGTGGCTGACAGTGACTAGAACTGTGTGAGGTCCCAAGGTACACAGTTTGAAGGGGAGTAAGGAGTCAGTGTCCTGTGTACATGCTTCTTGTATCTTGTATCTCCTTCAATAAATGTCTCTATTTTTCATATTATATGGCTGGATAAACTTCTGGACAGACCTCGTAAAAAGCAGCCAGACCAGTTAAATAAGCGTAGCAGAAAAAGACAGTGTAGGAGTTTTTCCCATTTCAGTAGTTTTTAAGGGTGACCATAAAATAACACAATTGGCCAATACCTGATGTTTACAAATGATGTCCCTGAATCCATTAGAAAAGAATAAATGTGTTTCATATACAGCAAAACCTGCTTCTCTGGATTTACTTGTCTCAAGACCTTGACTCTGCAACAGAGACTCTATAGATGGGAGAATGAAGAAAACACCCCCATGGCCCAAACACTTAAGCTCATGCACTTGACCACGCAGAGCTAAGAGTTTTATAAGCAGCACCAGCAGAGAGTGACTGCTAACAGAATACTGGAGAAGGGAGACAATAATAAATGAGCAGTCCCATTATCAACCCAGGCTAGAGCCCTCACAGTTAATTTGGACTCTACCATTTTCCTCATCACACTCCACAAAACTAATCAGCAGTCAAGTCCTGCCTTCTTCACATCTATATGCCCCCATGTACCCTTTCCTATCTCCTCTCACTTCTACTGTTTTAGTTTAGCTCCTCATCAGTTCTCACAAGGAAGATCTGCAAAGACCTCCCAACTGGTTTCCCTGCCTCCATCCCACAACACCATACAGCTACGCAGCAGCTGTACAGATTCTATCCGCCTATGGCTCTGGAACCCAGACGACTATGTAAGAGTGAGGGGAGTTGGGAGGAGTGGGGAAGAAAAATGGGATGAGGTTCTTTATTGAGAAGAGGCAAAAAAATAATAATATCCGAACTAGCTGATATTAGCATCCTGTTAATCCCAAGAGCACTTCTATCATTGAGGCCCTTCTGCATATAGATTTTTCTATATAATTCAGTTGTGTCAGTGAGTTTGTTCAGCAATGCTTCTAAAGAGAGGTTCTAGCATAAGTTTGTACTTTTTAAAGGGAAAGGATATGGAAAACATCAATCTGCAGTGAAATTATGAAATATTAAACCTCTGCTTCTCAGGAGTGACACTAATCATGGTCTGGAAGGTGGCTGATAACATTTTAAAACACCCCTTAAATCAATAATGTAGAAACTTTACAGTCTGGGGGCTGCCCCGGCAACTTGTCAACAACCGGAAAGGATGCACCTGATTTGCGAGCCACACCTGCAGCATCTCACTGTGTGACATCGAATGTGATTAAAATGAATACAGTTCGACTTGTACCTGTCCAAATCCATTATGATATTTCATTACAACTATCATGAACTTTGCTTATTACCTAAGGAAAAGGGTCAACACAATTACAATATAAAGTGCTAAAAGACAACAATATACACTCTCCACTGCTCTAGAACATTGAGCATCTAAAACTTTTACTGAAATTCTCTGCTGGTTGTGTAGAGGACCTCCTGGGAAGAGACTTGTTCATTTTTGTGTCCTTAGCATGTAGGATAGATTAACATGGCACACAATTAACGACTCAATAAATGTTCGTTGAAACCAAAACAGGATTGGGTTCCCAAAGACTTTTAGTGCCAACGAAGGAGCTTATGAAATGTGGAGATGCCTGAGGTCTACCCCGGACACAGAACTGCGGGGATGAGGGTCCAGGCCTCCATGTGGATAAACAGCTTCACATCTATTTGCATGTTCGTGGGCGGAGGATAAGAACCACTGGTGTAGTCAGTGGTGGGCCCACTCACTCTATTGTGTGAGAGGAGTGCCAAAGATAAAGTTCTCTCATTTTTTATAGTTTCACTTTTTAAAAACATGTGGATCACTGCAGAAAAGCTACCAAGTAGAGGTTACTCAAGATGGGTCAACTTTCATATGTAGATCACAGTAGGTACTTAACCTGTATGTAATTTTCTAAGATATGAAGTTATTCTGAAGGAGAACATTCTGGAAGGAGTTCATTCCCTCTCAAAACTAGTACATTCCAAAACAGGTCTCTAAGTCCCAAATAAACTAAAGCTACGGTCACATATAAAGTCATCACATCCGGTTGACAAAAAGATCCCTGGTCTTTTGCAGGGGTTTCTATTTGGAAGAAGTCAGGAGACTGGTTTTAAAAGATGTTTTCCGAGGAAGAAAAAGTCCCATTAAAAAAAAAATTACTGTTCTCTCCAGTGATACAAGAAAAAAAATTTTTTGAGATAATTTGCAACTTAACAAGCAACTTGAAGTAAAAAAGAAAAATCCAAACTCATTTTAAAAAACACCTCATACACATTTTTTCTTTTAACTTCATGTTTCAAAAAATATGTATTATTTTTCGAAAAGCTGACAAAAGCTAGCATACACCCTCCTCAGCTTAACAGTCTTCCAAAGAGCACATCTAACTGCCATAAAACGCAAAAATGGATATTTAATTCAAGAGCTATATAACGTCTAGCTACCTTTTCCCTGCTGTTTCACAGCATTTCATTATTTTGTTTAATAAGTTCATCTCCTCAAGAATTTTCTCTTCACCTCATATTATTAAAAGTAATAAGTTTTTCTGGACCGGGGGTTTCCCAACAGAAAAACCAATTTATGTGTGTCCTTCAATAATGACAGGAAAAGATTATTTCCCATTATACTGCATACTTTTCATATCGCCACCACAGCTTATCATTCAATAAATGTTACTCTGCAATTCTTTCCATTCCTCAAGGAAGTTTAATTTCTGCATTAACCTGTTTTCACTGGCCAACGCCTTACCAGACAGGCTCTGTGTAGCAGCAGAATTAGTTCGTTAAAGAACCCATTTAGGAATTTCTTGTCAGTGATAAAATTGTCTTCAGTTAATAAAAAAAAGTAAAGTAAGTTTACATGTTGATCACACATACTGGCTTCCACACTCACACTCTGTTCTGTTAATCACATATTTTTCCCACGAATCTGTCCTTTTGTAATGGAAGGTAAATGAAACATTCATCTTCAAAAGGGGAACTCATTCACATCATCTGTATACAAAGACAGTTATCATGGCTCTGACTAGTATTATCAATAACATTATCTTTACGCTGAAGAAAGATGTGCTGGCGATAAAGTACCTTGTTTCCGGTTTTCCAGAAGAAATCTCTAATGGCGCGTAGCATTACTATAGCCACCGGGAAGGTGGCATTTACTGCTTCTTTCCCAGTAGAAGTCTTAATAAAATCTGACCCTAAAACAAAAGGAAGAAACACTGTATGTTAATTTAAAAACTTATTTTTTACACTTTTCAGTCAATGGAATAAAAGAATTATAGACTATTTTTTCCAGAGGAACACAACTTTATTTTTTCATGAATCAGTTGAAAAACTTTTTAAAAAAGATATATGCATTCTTTTCAAAATAATTCTTTCCACACTTTTTCTTCTCCTGATTATAAGATAAATTAAGTTAAGCACCAGATGGATTCTCATGAACCCTCGGGGCTCTTGCCTCTATTTCCATATCACCAATTAAAATCAAGTTGGTTTATTTAAGGCATAACTAAGATGAATAAAACAATTTTATTCCCTCTGCTTAACATCACAGAACACTTAGTATAATAATAACATATAATGCTACAGAACTGGAGTGCCAACTCGTGTGCCCCTCATTTCCTCGTGCTTGACAGAAAGTACATGGTGCAGCTGTGACAACACAGACGAACCACCATTAGCTGGTTTCTGCTGAGCCGCTTGTTAATAAAAGCACTGTCTTCCAACCAGATTAGGGTTTTCATGACAGACACCATGCTATTTCATAACTTGCAAACATTATAAACAATTTCCTGTCTCTCAAATATATCTTTTACTTAAAAAAAGACTTTATTTACTTTTAGACAGAGGGGAAGGGAGGGAGAATGAGAGGGAGAAGAACATCAACGTGTGGTTGCCTCTTGTGCTCCCCCTACTGGGGACCTGGCCCACAATCCAGGCACGTGCACTGACTGGGAATCAAACCGGCAACCCTTTGGTTTGCAGGCCAATACTCAATCCACTAAGCCACGCCACCTAGGGCTCAAATATATCTTACACCTATTGATGTTTAACAGAACAACACAAGGAGCCAAAGAAACAATAATAGCAGTTAAAATTCACTCTGGGTGATGATGCACTGTGCACTAACTGTAGTTGCTCCAAAAGAATTAACTCAGTTAACCCTCATGACCGCTGTAAAAGTTAAGTACAATTTTTAAAGAGGAAATTGAGGCCCCAAAAGTTAAGTAACGTGTCTGGGGTTACATAGTAAGAGAGGAGGCAGAATTTTAATCAAAGAAATATAGCTTACCCAATATGCTATAGTGTCTCCAAGAAACTTACTAGGGTCACACAGACTGCCGAATAGAACCTCTGTCTTTCATGTGGTTACCTATCCCTGAAATCATCAAAGTGTGGACCACAGACCAGCAGCACAGGCACTGCCAGGGAGCTTATTAAAAATGCAGACTTCTCAGGTCCTACTCTAGACCAGCTGAATCTGAGTATCCACAAGGTTCCTAGGTGGCTCCTATGCAGAGGTACAGCCTGGACCACTGAAGCTGTGGATGCACAGATAAGGTGAATCTGATGCTCTCAATGTCTACCCAAGAAGTGGGGGATGCAAGTGGAGGAAAAAAGTAGCCAATACTTCTCCCTCCAGTTTCAGCTGGGAAAGATACTTCCACCACTACTCCACAGATTGAAAAGTTCAAATCGATACACCTTTAGTAAGTGCACTGTGTGTAAAGCACCACGAAAAATATACAAACAAGTCATTAACACCCTCGCCCTCAAAACTATATATATTCAATGTGGAGATGAAGCATAATTCTGGGTAATCACTTGATGAGCTTGAAGTCAGCAGATCTGGTTTCCAGCTCTGCCTCTGAAACACCTCACAAATTCCATCTCCTAATTGCTCTCACTTGTAAAATAGATCTGAAAATTCTCACTGGCTTCATCGCATTATCCAAGGAATCAAAAGAGACAGTCTAATGTGAAAGCACTCTGAAAACTGTCAAGTGTTACACAAATATGGAGCAAAAACCTAGACAGGTTTGCAATCTGTAGAAATACCATAGGAATTCTGACATATCGAACGGGTCATCAGGAGCCTTCCTGTCTTTGGTAGGTAGGCCCATTTGGGAGAAATGGGGATATACCCGTCGTGCACACACTCATTCACCAAATATTTACTAAGTGCTTCCTATGTTCTAGACTGTTCTACATGCTGGGAATAGACCACTAAACAAAACAAAGTTCCTGCATTGGTGAGAATTTCCAGAAGAGAAAGGCAATATATATATACATACACATATATATATAGCCAGGTGGAGATAGATAAGTGTTGTGAAATAAAAAAGAGCGATGGACTTGGGGAGAGGAAGCTGTATTTAAATAGAGTCTTCATAAGACATCTCATGAGGGAAATTCAGAGTGAATAAAGAGAATCTGTGAAAAGAACTTCACAAGCAGGAAGACAGCAAGTGCAAAATGCAAATGCTAACTTCATTAATAAATGAATGAACGAATGACCATGGAACCTAGCTCGTACAACATCAGAAGACAACCAAAATAATAGATGAAAGCCTCCAAATAGATGTAAGAAGGTGAGGGAAACATCCCAAAATAATTCATGATGAGCCCAAGACATGTTTTCTAGTACGTGACACTGTGGATTCACAGGAAGGCTTTTAGGTACAAGCCTAGACATCATCTGACTTCTTGTAAGCACCTTGGAAAAGAAGATAATTAATACAAAAGACAGAGACCACATTTGGGGACCTAAATAAAAGGTACGGTCACTTACAAAGCACACCATCCAACGTTAACCAAAGAAGGAAGGGTTTGGAGGCCGGGTAAGAAAGGAGACTCTCCCGGTACATTTGGGGGGAGCAGAGCAGAACACCTGCCAGGAGCAAGAGCAGCCCAGGTGTAGTGACGGTGGCCTGCACATTATTTGCCTGCCTGTCTTCCTTTCTTGACTGTACTGTGAGCACATCTGAGGCCAGGTGCTGTATCTTTCTTACACATGCCCCTAGAGTGTGACACAAGTAAGCAGCTCAATGAATACATTTTAGACGGTGAATGGACAGAAGGGTGAATGGATGGATGGCCGGCCACAGCTACCAAGAAAAGGCAAACTATTTTCCACCTTGAACTGACTGACGGGGAAAGGGAGACTGTGGAATTTCCTTCTAGGTTCACTATCAAAGCTGGGCGGGCAGCTCAGAAAAAGATACTGCTTTATTTATTTATTTAAGTAAACTTTTAATTTTTGAACAGATTTAGATCTACAGAAACACTGTGAAAAAACAGTGCAGAGAGTTCCCATATATCTTATACCTACTTTCCCCTATTATCAACAACTCAGTAGAGCATATTTGTTACAATTAATGAACCGATACTGACATATTATTCTTCACCAAAATCCATACTTTAGATTTCCTTAGTTTTACTCAAAATCCAATCTCACTCAGGATCCCACCACACATCTGTCATGTCCCCACAGGCTTTTTTTGGATGTGACAGTTTCTTAGACTTTACTTATTCTGATGACCTTAGTAGTTTTGAGTACTGGTTGGCTGTTTTGTCAAATTTCTCTCAATTGGGATTTGTCTGATGTTTTTCTTGTGATTACACTGAGGTTATGCATTTCTAGGGGGGGATCACAGAGGTAACGAGGTGCCGTTTTTGCCACATCGTAGTATGTAGTAACGTGACTTACTACAGGATGACGTTAACCTGGGTACTTGGAGAATGTGGCGTTTGCCAGGTTTCTCTGCTGTAAAATCGTCCCCCTTTTCCTACTTTCAATACTGAAACTTTTGGAAAGAAGTCCATATATGGAATAGGAAGTCACAATCCACCTCCTCCAGGGGGGAATGACTACATCAATTATTTGGAACTTTTTGCATGGGAGATTTGTTTCTTCATTCATTCATTCACTTAACAATCATTGATTTATTTCAGTACAGACTCAAAAGATATTTACTTTTTACTTGGCTTTAGAATCCACAATTGTTTTATTCTGTTGCTCAAATGGTCCTAGCTTTGGCCACTGGGAGCTCTCTCAGTTGCTTCTTATGTTCCTTTGTGTACCCCATCGTGTGGACTTTTTGTTTTTCCAGCCCTTTCTGTTAAGAAATGCTCCAGGCCCAACCTTGTGTGTTTTCTGCCATTTAGAATAAGCCATTTCTCCACAGCGTGCTGCCTGCTTTTGGTGGACTGCCATTGGAAACCGAGATCCCGGTGCTGGGTGTACTCATTGCTACTGAAGGGGTCTTGCTTTTAGTCCCTCTCAGCCGACTCAGCAAGAAAATATATGCATGCATACTAACCCATTTATATGCACCCATCTATCAGTAACTCCATATGTAACTATCTATATGTACATTACACTAAACATGAGCTGTGTTGATGTATCCAACTCTTGACCCATTACCACATGGATCACCTCAGCCCTCTCCCCTTGCTTATCTGTGAACTCCCACTCCAGCAGCGAGAAACCTGCCACCTGCCACCCATTTATCTGATTGTTCACACCCAGTAATCATGCAGAGTGCTATCAGAATTGTTAACCATACCATCCACAGACACAACTTTATCAACATCAGGAGAGTGCTAATGTGCAGTTCCTTTGTCCTCCACTTTATACACCATGCTCATTTATAAAAAGTTACATAGGTCGGCACTGTTTTCTCCCACCTCCTTCAGTGGGTTTTTTTCACACATGTGTAATACAGTCAAATTCTTTGGTCACAGTCTGCATTCTATTTTGGAATCCTCTGAATCCCTAAATGCTTTTTTTCATGTGCAGGCATTAAGGTTCACTCTCTGTGAAACTTCTAGTGGTTTTAACAAATGTATAATGTCAAGTATCCATCATTACAGTATTGTGCAGAATATTTTCACTACTCTAAACCTCCTGTGTTTCACATTTTCATCTCCCCCTACCACAAGTGACCACTGATCTTTTGATTATATCAACAGTGTTGCCTTTTTCAGAATGTCTTATAATTGGAATCACGTAGCCTTTCAGACTGGCTTCTTCCCCTTGGCAATATGCATTTAAGGTTTACTCATATCATTTCATGGTTTCATGGTTCATTTATTTTTATTGCTGAATAATATTCCAATATATAGATATACCACTGTTTGTTTATCCATTCACATATTAAAGAATATTTGGCTGCTTCCAGTTCTTGGCAATTAT